AAATATATGGTCGAGAAAGGTGTTAAGTTGATTTTTAGGTGCCTTTGTTCCTTTGTTGTTCTCTAACAGAAAAAGTTGTTCTGCCATAGAGATATAATTTTACTTCAATAATGCGAGTTGTGCAAAAATGTTAACAGCAGTGTCTTCCTGTGGTCACTTAGGTGATATCTCGAAGTTATGTCCTTATCTTTGGGCCCGGCATGGCCAGGTGGTTACGGCGCTCGACTCGCAATCTGAGGGTCGCGGGTTCGAATCCCCGTCACACCAAACATGCTCGCCCTTTCAGCCGTGGGGGCGTTATAATGTGACGGTCAATCCCACTATTCGTTGGTAAAAGAGTAGCCCAAGAGTTGGCGGTGGGTGGTGATGACTAGCTGCCTTCCCTCTAGTCTTACACTACTAAATTAGGGACGGCTAGCGCAGATAGCCCTCGTGTAGCTTTGCGCGAAATTCAAAACAAACAAACCTTATCTTTGTTGGAGTGAGAATGATTACTTTCGTGGATAGTGCTAGTCACTCTGGGTAAATATGACCGTTCTCGTGAACTCAATCTTGAAGGACAGGAAGTTTGATGGTAAAAATTACAATTTGTCATTCCATAAAAGCAAGCTAGTACACACACTGTTGTGGTTTACATTTGTTATAATAACAATAGTTTACTTCATATTTCATTTTGTGGCCAGTCTCAATATTTCATTCAATATCATGACTAAGTTATTTACAGATTTAGAATTACTTTGTAATTGGTATCTTTACCAAATCTCCTGTTATTAAACAGACCTATCCTAATACTTTAAGGTGAACTCTGTTTTACCAGAACATATTATAACTGACTTTCTTCTCTCGAAATGTCTTTTCACCAACCAATCTCTCTGCTATCCTGTCAGATTATTCAAACCGAATGTTTCTTACCTGACGTGAATCGTTGGAATTTAAATAGCAACTAGTACAATCTACCTGACTGGTTATTCTCATGTAACATAATGTAGGTAGTATAATCTTGAAATATCTGGCACACGGGGCCAGTGCCCCGTTTCTATTTGACAATGCTCCGAATCTCCAGTTCATGTTTTGAAAAACCATAATATAAAACCATGATCGATATCATATTGAAATGCTAAAAATTTCCACAAGTTCTAAAATTAAGAAGAAAAGTGGCAAACTTGGCGGCCTTCAGTACAAAGCACAGTGAGGGTGGAACCTTAATCTCGCACAAAAAAGTTGAATCGTCATTGATCAAGCCAGGCTTTTATCTCATTAAGTTGCATTTCTGTGTTGTGCAGTACAGAATGTAATATTGTAGAACAACCTGGAAACACGACGAAAGTTCTTTGATCATAAATAAAGAAGAATTTAAGCAGTCCCCTTTTCAGGTTTCAGACCAGGCAAGGACCAAGACAAAACTTTATATGTGTTTATGTACTTTGTTTCTAGTGAACGAATGTGTTAAGCTCAATTATTATAATCACTACAGTATTGTTCAATGTAACCTATTACCTTGTTTATCATCACTTTAATTATCCAATCAGCTTGTTTGTGAAGATTGCACATTTCTGTATTTGTATTTATAACTGTTATAAATAAATCTGTCCGTATTGGTCTCTTTTGGGACGGGTTGATTGGCTCTCACAGTTGATTCACGCGTGCCAGATCTACATCTTCCCAGCTGTGCATTAATCAAGTTGTGGTGGGTTCGATGAGTGGTTTCAAGAGAAGTGAAAGAACCTTTCTGGTCAAATCTTTGCAGCTTTTCCTTACCGCTCGTGGAGACAAACAGCTATTAAAACAATTTCATGTAAATCCAAAATTAATCAGGAAATCAATAAGCCCAGAGTGGGGCGAAGAGAAATCCAAATTTCTGACAACCCCTGGTTTTAAACCTTGATATTGATGGTGTCAGAGAGGTCTTCTTATCAAGCAAAACGTTTGGCAATTAATTGTATATATTTGTGTCCCTTATTTTCTGATCTCTCGAGTACGAACCATCGAAAATTGGTGCAATTCATACGTATTGTTGGTTAATGCGGAGTTGTGTTGTTAAGTTCGACCTGGATTAGAGTTTTGAATTTTTGTCTGTGCAAAGGTCGTTTCTCCACTATGCTTTTGACATGTTGACGTAAGAGATCTGTTTAATTCTGTACTTTATGAACGATTGATGTGGTATTTCTCGCAATTTGTTTCTAGTTAAACTTTTTCTGAATTTGATATTTGTTTTGTATAATTGTATTATTTGATACGAATTTTTAAGCTCATTTTATTTGTGAAATTTTGAGTTAGCGAGTTTTTTGTTTAGTGAAAGTATTTTAGTGTGCTTTTTTATTTTTTGCTAATTGTTAGTTAGTTGGTTAATAACAGGGTAACGCATAGTGTTGACAAACTAGTGTTGATGAATTAGACGATGGTGTTTACTGTTTAGTAAATTAGGACGTATATTATTATTGAAAAACCGAATTTGAGTTTTTAATCATGCTCATTTCAGTGTTTTGTTAAATGAGCATTTAATTTCGTGCTTAAAAATAACTTTTCTTCTTCATATGGAATGGATATCAGACAACTTTTTACCAGTAAATTTATATCACAGCAACGTCAGCGAGAGAAAACAGGGAATGCAGAACAGATCAATTAGGTGCAAATGAAGGGTCCAGTAAGAAAAAAGAGGCAGAGGCATCAAGTGTTAGGCAATTGATTTTAGTACAACATGTGAGGCAGCCGAGGTTAGCACAGTATCCTTGTGAGTCATTTGGGTAAAAATAAAACGTTTTTTTCAATACCACTGGTTTTCAGAAGCACATGTGGTTGGAATACTCGTTTCAACAAAATATGGATTTTTTTTTGCATGTAAAAACTTCGGTCAAATCACACCAGATGTAACATTGTTGCATTGATTAATAATGGCTTCAAAAACTGATAGGGAGCATTAGATTTCTTTAGGAAGCATGAAAAGGCAATGGTTCATAAAGCAAGCATGCTGGCTTGGGTGGCCTTCAGAGATGGGAAAGTGCACAGCAATATTATGGAACAGTTAAGAGCAGCAAATGAAAATGAGATCAGAGAAAGACAATAGTATTTACAGCGCATTATCGGTATCTTACAATTTCTTGGGAAAGAAGAAATACCATTTAGAGGCCACAATGAAACTGAAGGAAGCCAAACAGGAAAAATTTTGTCGAGTGATTGAATTTACTGACGAAATTTGATCCATTTCTTCAAAATTACAAAGCATTAGCCAATGCTAGCTATACTTCCCTTTCGTCTCGAATGAAGTTATTCAATGCTGTTCAGAACAAGTGACATGCAGCATAGTCAGTGAATGTATATGATAAGGGCAGACAAAGCAAGGGACAAACATAAGGAACAGTTAGCCTGCTGTCTACATTATATTGTTCAAGAAACTAGTTTAGTGAAAGAGTATTTTCTGGGATTCAGCGAATTAAAAGATTTTAATGCAAATACAGTCACTGAATTAATGCAACAATGCAATATGTAGCACAAACATATGATGGTGCAGCTGTCATTAGTAGAATAAGTGGTGATGTTCAAGCTAGGTTTCAGAAATATCACCCAGGAGCTATCTATGTCTATTGTTACGCCCGCCAACTCAAACTGGTGCTCTGTCACACATATGAATCAATGAAAGAAGCTACCAATTTTTAATACATTAGAAAGTGTATACACGTTCTTTAGTACATCGTTAATACACCACCAAAGATTCGGTGATGTCCAAGTGTAACTTGGATTAAAACAAAGCAAACTGGTACAGCTTTTAGACACTTGCTGATCTTGCCAGGTAGGTTCTGTGAATGCGTTGATAACAAACTTCCCAAATATTGTACAACATCTTTCTGAAATTAAGTCTCCAACAGCCGTTGGTCTGTTAGCAAAGCTGCAAAAGTTGCCTACAGTATACTGACTGTTTATGTTCCATTCTCTCCTTAGTACAACAGAGGGCTTCCATTAGCCGCTCCAAAAAGAAAACCTTCACTTGGCAAAAACAGTTGATTTTAGAGAAGCAACATACAGCACTTTAAATAATGTGAGAACAAATGAAAAGACAAAATAAACATATCAAAAACCAATGGTCTTGTGCACCAAAAACGACATTAACATCCAGAAAACAGCAGTACAAAAGAGAAAAAAATGCATGGATGAGTTAGTGGTTGAAACTGCAAGTGGCATACATGAGGATGTCAGCACACCAGATAATACGAGGACAAAATTATTTTATCCTTGTTTAGATTGTATGCATTTTGAACTTAACCAACGCTTCTCTGGGATTAATTTAGAGCTAATGATGAGAATCCGAGTATGCAGTCTGCTCTAACGGAGCTTCTTCTCTATAGAAGACATAATCACGCTTGCTAAACACTGCAAAACAGACCTAAAGCCCAAAGTCGCACAGTCGATCCTTTTTTTTTTGGCAGCACCTTTTTTTTTTCACACTTAAGGCGTGTTTGATTAGATCTGACTCACCAGAAAAGGGCGCTGGACACGCTGCTGACGTCTGCACTCTTCCACAGGGTACACTATTCGAGTAATACCTTCAACGAGACCCCAGTGGCACAGTGGTATGTCTGCGGACTTACAATGCTATGTTACGACAGCAGAAGTCAAATGACCCTGGTGACACGTGATGAATTTCTCGAATGACCATGAATGAACGGGGAGGCCCAAGTGTATTCTAGACGTCCCTTTCTTTAGTATATAAGCCTGGCAGAGAAAGCCTGCGTTGATGAATGAAGAGAGTTCCGGGTAATTTACGATTCTGTTTCGAGCTAGTGTGTGTTTTCGAGACTGTGAATCGCTGTGATTTATAGCGTGTATTATAAAAGTAGTGAAGTTTAAAGTGACGAGAAACGTACTGATTGTGAAATTACCGTGTACTACAACTTTGTATCGAGAAAGAATAAACTAGTTTAATCAAGAAAGGACTTGTATCGCTGAAGATCTTCGGAAATAATTTCTACTGGAAATTAACAAACAAGTTGATACGTAACAGCTAGAAACCGGGTTTTGATACCCGTGGTGGGCAGAGCACAGATAGCCCGATATGTAGCTTTGTGCCTAAATTACATACAACAAATATTCAATGGAGAAAACAGGTATTATCTTCAAAGAAGAAGAAAGACACCTTGGACGAAGTCAACTTCAGTGGATTTCTGGACCATGTATTAAGGGAAACTGCATACGCTTAGAATAAACAGAAAACATTGAAAATGTTTACATTAAAATGAGAAGGTAGAAAATGCATGGTATTGCTGTATAGCACAATAAGTCTTATAACCTACTTGTTAGTTATAAGTTTACCTGAGAATACCACAAGAGTTTTCCGTAAATATGGAAATCTATTTTCTAATGGTCGTTATAACAACGTCTTGATTCATAAAAAAACCTCAAAATCTCAAATAAATGCGACCAAAGTAATTAAGCTTAAGTGAAATGTGGAATAACGGATGCAGTAAAAGCAAAAGATTTTATTTAATTATCAATTCAGGTCAAGACTCTTCCCCCAACCAGTGCTAGAATGAAATTCATGTGTCACTTTTTTCTTTCCTTGTTGTGTCAGGTTTTCTATACCTGTTGTCAGTATTTTGCAGCTTACTTGCCAATAATATTGATACGATGTAATTTAGTTAGTATGAACGAAAATCGTGTGTTTAAGTACTTAAGAAGAAGTTATGTATTTACAAATTACCTTGCATTTTATTAGTAAGCAGCTTTTTTAGTTTTGTGCTGTAACGCTGTTTTATATTTATTGTTTTGTCTAGTTGTAAGGTAAGTTTAAATATTAAATTAACCTTAAGTTATTTAATTGATACTGATACTAAGTAATAGTAATAACAATATTAGCCACTTATGGAAGTAGGCCTAACAGTAACACAATTACATCATAACTTAAGACGATTTTAATTTGTTAATGTTGGGTTGACGATTGGCTTATAGAATGAGATGCTGTAGGCAGTATTGGAGGCCGGTACTTTAGAAGAGTATAAAATTAAAAGGGTAATTGACTGTTTCCTGTCAAATAAAGGGTAGTTTGAAGTTTTTATTTATTTTCTGAAGGGTGGGTATGAAGAGAGTTGAACGAAGTTGAAGGACTAAAATAAAATGGTCTCTTGTCCGTATGTTAAATTTAAAATTAAAGACTGTTATTGTTAAGAAATATAATAATAGCCTTGATCATGCAGTATTTTAATTATAACTTATTCTAAAATTTATGATTGACAATATAGTTATTAAACTTAAGAAGTTTTGGTTAGAACTTGGAAGTCTGAAACTGAAACTTCATTGTATATATGAGATCATTAGGCTGTTAGTGTTAACTAGTAACAGCGACCATATGAGTTGCCCTAGTTATGCATTTCCTTAGTCAGCTCTTAGAAAGTATCTGAAGCTGCTTAACTTAGCCTTTAAATTTATGATTTTTAAACATTTTCAAGTCATCTATACACTAGATCCTAGTAGGGAAAACAAATTCAGAACTTCAAGTCTATCTTCATAACCTTTAGGTTTCAAATTGGAAATAATTTTATTAGCCTATTGATTAACCAGAGTCTGAACTTTTCCAAACAAATTGAAGCAGAACTTAACCAGATGAGGCTTTACCAAATTTCTATAAAATGTAATGATAGAGATAACTTTCCTACTCATGAACTTTCTATAAATAGATTCTACAGGGTGGGTAAAAAGTCTTGGCTTGTGTTAGAAATTTAGTTTTTGTATTTTAGTAATGATTGTGGCAAAGGAACAATATGAAACAACTGATGTTTTTAAACAAAGAATTGTTGAAAGTTTCTTTAAGGTCACTCCTAATAATATTAGTAATATTCTATGGAAGATTTCACATCACACATGGAGATGTATCATCCTATGTCATGAAAATGAAGACCAACAGACAGATATTTTGGATTATTAATTGAATCTTTTGTTAGTCACTGTCAATATGCAATAAATTATTTCTTTCATGTACATTATCTCTATTTAAGGAGAAGGTACCCACAGTTTTTCCCAACCCTGTAGAATCATATTTACTGTTTACAACACTTCCAAACATTCAGTCAAAATTTTAAGGCTTTTATCAATCATCAAATCCAAATCATTCTTACTATCTGTAACTATTATTTTTCCCACACAAAAAATAAGGTATTTGGAAGTTTCCATATCTGAAATGCATCACTTTCAATCTTTCAAGTGTTTAAACTCATTTTCCAAACATTATCCCATTCAATAAGACTGCACTAAGGAAGAAATTTCCTAAGAATTATCATAACAGTCAGTGTAGTAGCATCAGCAAACTTAGACATCTTCTTTCTCATATTGTAGTCCATATTGACATAGATAATAAACACAAAGGTTCAATGATAAACTCTCTAGGAGACTTGTGTTACTTTTCCCAGTTAGATTGTTATCCATATATAAAAAATATGCAATTTTTACCTTTAAGCTGGTTGTTAAACAGTCTTTTGAAATTTTTCCTCAATTCTTCAAGAATCTAACTTAAAAATAAATATGTTTTGAGGAACCTTATCTAAAGTAGGGAGTTTTGGCAATTTTAAAATAAAAAAAAATCACACACCATTGGATTCCACAGTCACAAATTAGTAGATTTACACTGCAAGTTCAATTATGTAGTTGATAATTAATGAAAAACAATTTAAAACTGTACATGTAAATCGACCTTTCGCAACACATAACCTTCCCATTGGAACAATGTTAAAATGTCAGTGGTTGATATCAAATTATTGCTTTACCTGGTAACCTGAGACTGCATGAAACCTATGTCAAGGCAAGATAAAATGTAGTCCCAGTAAAATCTGTCAATTTCAAACTCGTATATGTGGATTCATATTATATGAATAAATGAAATGAAAATTGTCAACAACCAAATGTTAAAAATGAAGTATGAGCCTACCTATGTACCAATGAAAGTGTAGGAGAGATTTTGTAATCACATTGGTTGTAAACTTGAAACACTGTGATTGACAGATATGTACCAGTTATAAACTCCAGCCGTTCTATGTCATGTCATGACGTAATTGATACATCGTTCATACCACTTTTACCATAGATCAGTGTAGCACATGTTTTATCACTCTAGCCACACTCAATGATATGACACTTATCAAACTGTTGTCAGGACAACATATTGTCTGTTTATGCCCAATGATATGACATAAAGTAAGTAGTTGTCAAGACAAATGCATGATCTGTTTACAATCCCCATTCATCATTTTTTGACATACTTTTGGTTTGACTTAAGCAGACATATGTTAAAAATTTAATCTAAACATTTGCTGGGGTTAACAAATCCTTAATTTTAGTGTTGTAAATTCAAAGATGTATTGATGTCAAACTGGGGGACCTCTTTTTATTCTTTTAGGTTAGACCGTTATGGCATATTGTGGCTCTTGAAATGTTTTGGTTTTAGATAAAAACAAATAGATGGCTCTTCTTCTTTGAAGGGTTGCTGACCACTGACTCAAACCAAAGTAGACCATGAAGAGAGGTATTGTTTGATGTATCACTGATCCTTACTGGATCAGCCAATTTGAACCAACACCCTGATTTGGATTTAACACTTGCTCACTGTTAGCTATCAAATGACAGAAGAAAAGTTTAATGATCCTTGCAAATTGTTTTGATGTTGATTTACAACTAGTGGAAGTACAGTTGGTTTGAAGTAAATCATGCAAACTCAACATGTATTAGAACTGTAGATGTTTTTCATTTGTTGTTTGGTGTACAATAATTAGTACTTTGTTTATTTGCATCTATGATTTCGCACTCACATGTGTCCATGGCCGGGAACTATAATTCTCTGGAAGTCCTTATCTAAAGCCTTCTAGAAATCTAGACATCATACAAATAGCAGGGTCTTTCAAGATTGTCCTTGGACACCCATGCTTGAGGATTAGTTAAAATGAAAACTCACTGTTTATTCTTCAGGAAATCATCAATGCCCCTCTTCAACTCTTGTAAAGTCCCAGTCTCCACCTTTACTGATGGTAATTCATTTTATAAACCAAGCCTAAATACAACTGTCATAGCTAGATCCTAGCCCGTTTCCTCCAAATCTTAAGATTGTGTCATCATGTTCTATTATCTTTAGAATATAACACAAAGAAATTAAAGGCATTTATCATATCAAGCTTCAGGATAATTTTGTAAACTTCAGTAAGATTACCTCTTACCCTTCTTTATTCAAGAGGAATTAAGAAATTTTTCTCTTTCCTTGTAAGATAACCCTTCCATTCCCAGAATTATCCTATTAATCCTCTTCTGAATCCTTTAAAGTAAGTCAGTATCTTAGATAAGGAGATAAAAAATATATACAGTATTTCAGCCTAACTGGTGGCTTGTGTAGAGATCATTACCTGTTTTTACTTGTAATTAGTATGTTTATAAATACACCTTATATTCCTATTAGCATTATTACTAGTGACAAATCACTGCTTTGATGGCTTGAATGATTTATCCATCACTTTGCCAAGATCCTTTTCTTCAGTCACTGAGTTGAGTAGGCTCCCATCTATATCATAATGTATGATCAAAGTTACAGAAAACTGAAAATACATTATGCTGCACTTGTTGTACTCTCCAGCTGTATACATTTGAAGGTCAATTGAATGCCAAACTTCTTCGCCTTTTGTCCCCAGTTCCACATCCTTTAGCTTTGGCCATGGATGCTTTCAGCCGGAATTAGAAGGACCTTTTCCTTTATATATATATATATATATATATATATATATATATATATATATACTACTACTTACTATTCTCGTTCTTCTTACTACTACTACCTACCTACTACT